TGAAAGAGTTAGGGATGAAATCACCCCACCACTGTGTAATTCCTGTCTACCTTGTCACTGTGCCACGCAGTGATGCAGAAGATGTAAAAGCGAAATGACAGTAGAGAGTGAAGCACAGGCACAGGTGACCAGCTCTTACAGCATGCCGACTGTTCATCTTAAGGGTGAGTTTCCATTGGACACAATGAACAGCCACCAAACTTTCCTGAGGTAAAGACAATTGACTGATGGTTCTGATCAATTCACATGATTTCTGTAATAGTAGAGCAAGGAACTGAGGGGATGAATCACAGCCATAGCCCCAGTGATGGTGACAGTAATAGTTTCTGAGTGTTCACTATGCTCTGGCCACTCAGCTAAGCACCATGTGCGTCATATCCTTACCTTCACAGCACACCTTTTGTTTTTTACCAGATACAGAAAACGAAGCTTAAGAAAGTCATCCAAATTGACAGGGATAATAGATCATGGAGTCGATAGAAAGAGTCTGTTACCCTCCTTAATTCCAATACCCTGTTCTTAACACACAATGCTATTTCCATATTTGAAAAAAAAGGAAGTTAAATCAGATGACAAGGAAATGTCTTTCAAACTTTGGAGGCCACATCAAAACTCAGAGCAAGATGAATGCTGGGGTTGTGCTCACTTTCTCATCCTTATGCAATCAGGGCCCACAGGATGATGGATGCTACCCACATTCAGGGAAGACCTATCGTCTTCAGGTTATCCTGTCTGAAAACACCCATAAAGACATGCTTGAAGGTACATCTCCTGTGTGGTTTCAATTCCAGATAGGTTGACAATGAAGATTAATCATAGCAAGAACCACTAGGAAAATCAAGAAATTGCAATTTTTAATATCCTAGTTTTCATTCATCTTGACTTCACAATGTTATATCAATGTTATATTATTGTCAATGGGATGTTAAATATTTAAAAGAATATCTACCATTGTTGAAAAGATAACACAATAACAAAACTATATAAACTAGTAAGGTTTGACCAGTGGGGCTTTACATACATAAACTATGACCTTCCTGTCCATAAATGAGTGATAAAGTCATTAAGAATAATCTAACCAAAAATAACTTGGTCCCTACGTTCATCTGACCCAGTGTTTCTCTGCCATTGACTGAGTCACAATTTTGCATGGTTTCAAACATGAATGAAACTTAGGAAGTGTGATGCTTTAAAAGAAAATGGCCCCCAAGGAGAGTGGCACTATTGTTAGAGAAGCCAGAGCCACGGGATACCTGCTGAGGAGAGCTGCTAACAGGGAGTGGAATCAGCCCAAGAGAAAGAAGTGTGTTGCACTCAACAAAGCTGAAAGGGGTTGGAGATCTGAAGAGCTTTTTTATATCTGATATGGGGATACAGAGTTTGGAGTTTGCTCAGCTGGTTTTCAGTCATGCTGTGGTCCAGTATTTCCTTACTATGATCCCTTCCCTACATTTTGGAATGGTAATTTATATCCTGTGTCATTATATGTTGGAAATATGTGATCTGTTGTTTTTTTTTTTTAAAAAAAGGGGATTATAGTTAAGAGATTGCAGGAATCTCAGAAGAGACTTTGAACTTTGGACTTTTAAACATTGTTGACACTGTGATAGATAATGAGGACTTTTAAAGTTGGACTGAATGCATTTTTGCATTATGGTTTGGCTTCAAGCCTTTGAGGGCCAGGGAGTGGAATGTGGTGGTTTGAAAGAAAATGGCAAAACTCTGAAGGGAGTGGCACTATTAGGAGTTGTGGCCTTGTTGAAGAAGGTATGGATTTGTTGGAGGAAGTGTATCACTGTGGGCCTTTGAGAACTCTTTTGCTCAAGCTTTGTTCAGTGTGACAGTCAGTCCACTTTCTGCTGCCTTCTAATCAAGACGTGGCCAGCACCATGTCTGTCTGCATGCTACCACGCTCCCTGCCATGATGATAATGGACTAAAACTCTGAAATGTAAGCTGCCACCTTAATTAAATGCTTTATAAGAGTTGCCATGGTCACGGTGTCTCTTCACAGTCATAGAAACCCTAAGATAGGAGATATTCTTTGATTAAAGAAAACACATATCATCATGTCTTGTGCCCTGGGGGGGCACAATTTCCCCATCAGTGCCATGATTCAAAGCAGATGATATTGGCCCATAGGAGCATCTCTTGTTGATCTTTTTAACCACTGGATTAAGGCATCCAATAGCATAATTTGTTCTATTGCAGCTAAGAAACGTGTTGCCAGTGCTATTGCATTTCCATTTTTAAGATAAGAAGGGCAAGAGGTTGACATTAACCCTGAACTTTATTGAATTAATTCTCTCCTTTCCTTCATTTTAAGAAATTTGCCTCTATGTGATTCCTAACTCCAGATCTTCAGGTATGAATACATATCCTGGAGTAACCGTAGAAATCAGGGAAGTGAAAAGGGCTGATAGCCAGAGTAGAGAGTTTGGGGAGCAATAGAGAGAATAGTTCAGTGCAAGTCATTTGATAGAGTAAATGAGGGAAAGAGCTTCTCTAAATAGGAAAGGGACAGGGAGATAAATAACGATGATAGACACATACATACACACACACACACACACACACACACACACACAAAATTCAGGGTCTACAAGATGATGCAGTGTAGCATGAATCTTAAATAGGTACTTATTAATAAAATCAAACCTGAGGCCAGTTATTGGGGTGAATGCTGGAAGATCAGAGAAGCAGAACAAGCCACAGCTGCCTCACCTCGCCAGTTCCTCAGCTGATCCTGTTTCCTCAGACTGGAAGCCTCTGAGTCCTTATCCAAATGAATCTCAGCTGAACTGCTTCTCGAAAGCCAGAATGCTTAACCAGCTAAAAGGTTCTAGTTTCTGGTCTTCATGCCTTATATACCTTTCTGCTTTCTGCCCTCACTTCCTGGGATTAAAGACTCACTTTCTGGGATTAAAGGTGTGAGTCACCATGCCTGGCTGTTTCCTATGTGGCCTTGAACTCACAGAGATCCAGACGGATTTCTGCCTCTGGAGTGCTAGGATTAAAGGCGTGTGTGCCACCATTTTCTGGCCTCTGTATCAAGTGGCTGTTCTGTTGTCTGACCCCAGATAAGTTTATTAGGGTGCACAATATTTTGGGGAACACAATACCACCACAATGTAGTAGGGAACAAAGTCTGAAAACCTGAGTTCAACCCTGGGCTCCAAACAAAGGAAGGAGAGAACTGACCCCCAGCAGTCACCCTCCTACCTTTTCAGGAGTGCAGTGCCGCACACACTAGGTAAATTAAATGCAATTTTTAAAAATTGAAAACAATCTGTCTTCCTTTCTGTGCAAGCAGTAATTTGGAGAAAAAAATCAACACTTTTTTTTTTTGATACAAAGACACCAGCCAAGAAGAATGACCATAATCCAAGAACATCTTGCCACAGGCTTCCTGGATCCAAGTTGCCCCAAAATTGTCTTCTCTCTTTATACCTCAGTCTCCTAGGTTTATGTCATCCTTTGCTCATGCTGAGGAACCTGACTTTCTAGACTTTTTCAGACTATTGACCAAATAAAGTAGGGAGCTCCAATGAGGGGACATGAGTACTTTATTTTTGAGGTAAAATAGCAAGATCTTACTAGAGGATACAGGGCCTTTCAGTTTCATGTCATTAGAATGCAAACTGAGTTGTTGAAATACCCCATACCCACTTTTTCATTTAAAAAAAAAAAACCTTAAAAAAGTAGATATTCATAGTAATACAGTAACTGCTGAAAACACTTCACCTTTTGCCACCATGTCACTTTGATTCATTGGATTCTTCCCACTTATAATAATACTCATCCCATATTTTCAAATACCAAAATGTTTAGCTCCTGGAGCCCCTTCAGGAAGCTGTAAGTCACTGTGCACTTAGCAGTTTATATCCATTATATTTATTCCACATTTTATTTTTTGTGTGTGTAACAGTTCTATTAGAGTAGACACATGGTTACACAAATAATAACAAGTAAAAGAGTCCATGAAAACACAAGCCACAAATCGTTCTTCAACCCCATTATTTCACATTGAAAGTAACACTCTTGGAAAGAAAATCCCCATTTGCACACAGCAAACAGTGTAATTAGCCTCCACTTTGATTTCCTTGCTGGTGATGCAGCCCTTCTCCTTTCCACGCAAAGCCACACATTGTCATGAATGGATATTTGCATAATGGATTGGAAAAGCACATAATCCAAACATCTGGACTCTTCCACATATGGCTCATTAGCTACAAAAGCCAATGAGAACTCCAAGTTGATGCAATTAAATGTGACTGGAAAAAATACATGCCTCTCACATTTTCAGTTATCCATATGTATATGGTTGGCAGACAATTCAATATAGTCACAGGAATTATGAGAAAGTGAAGCTTTCTATAGCCTGGTCTGTTAACCATCAATGTGCTACTTCCTGGAAACAGGGGGGGGGTGGGGTAAGGGAGCATGAGTAGTTCTGGGCTGCCAGCCACTGCTGCACATTGCCATAGTGAGAGAATATCTAATACATAAATAAATTCAGTCAAGTATCAGGATTTCATGTCTGTTCTGCATGAGGGTCAGGATTGGCTTTGATATAAAAATGGTACAGAATGATAAGAAAAGGGTCTTTATCCAGCTTTTCTTAACTTGCAAGGAGACAAAACAGGTGATTTCTGGTAACTCCTTTTCATCGCTCTCATCTTACACCAGCCTGCAAAGTGTGTGGCCTGCCCAGAGTCAAAGCAAGAACATAGCTCATTAGCCTTAAGGACTGGGCAAGCCTGCCTGGAATGGGAGCCAACAGCTAGGAAAGGCAATGAGCAGCAGGCGCTGGCTCTTCAGCTTTCACTCCTGCTTTTCCAGTGCTGACCTGTGCATCCTAAAGACACAATAGTCCCTCCCTGCCCTGGGATGGCCTTTCCCTTTCACAGCTCAGAGGACAACGGAGTTTTGGAAAAAGGAGGGAAGTGCCTTCTACATGCCTTGCTCAGTAACTGTTACAAAGGAAGAGAATATACTCACCCGCCTTGATTTGGTCTTCTGCTCTGGAAAGAACAGAGAAACAGAATGAGCCACAGCCAACCTCCACCTCGACAACTCCTCAGCTCATTTTGTTTCCTCAGACTGAAAGTCTCCAAGTCCTCACCTGAATAGATCTCAGCTGAACTGCTGCAAAAAGCCTAAAAGGTATGTAAGATGTGAAGACCAGGAACTAGAGGCTTTTCTTCTATCCTAACTCGAGAACCACATTGTCGAAGCTGCCAAGTTCTGCTGCATGGGAGGGCTGTAATATAGCCCCCTCATTTAATTAAATCTTTGTCAGCTTTCTGTTTTTCACTGCCTGAGCTTGGCTATCCTAAAACAGGATCTGTACACCAGGCTAGCCTCAACTCAGAAATCTGCCAGCCTCTTCCTTCTGAGTGCTGGGATTAAAGGCATGCACCACCACACCCAACTCTAAGCTTTTCTTTAATTCTTTTTCACAGGGTTAGAAATTTAGCTGGGCAGGATCTTGGTCTGAGGTCACCACTCCCTTTATTCCATTTCTTAATCTGTTTATCTTCTTGAATACAAGACTTAGCTCCATTCTACTTCCTGGTGCTCCCTTTCTCCTCAAATATTTTTCCTTGTTCTACTTGCTCCTTTTCATTATATGTCTTCATTAGAGTTAACACTATTAGCCACACAACATAGTCTACACTAGGCTGTTTTGTTGCAGGATATTTGATCACAAGAAATCTAAAGATTGTGTTATTTACTGAAAAAAAAAACTGTTTCCACTTGTGTGGCTCACCACTACCATACACCTTTAATCCAAGAGCTTTCTGTTTGAATACTATAAACAGAATTAAATATAATCAACCATAAGTCAAGAGGTAGAGCAAGCAACCGGTTGATAGGAAACATATCATAGAGAGTAAGAGGGAGTCAGGAGGATGATAATTTGTCAGGAGCACAGATAGAGAGACACTCAGAAAGTAGAAGGAGGGACACTGAGTTTGAGGAGTCGTTTAAGACAGTGTAGGAGAAAGGCTTTTTCTGGGATTTTGGTGGAGGAGGAAGCAGTTACATGTTTTCTCTGCCTCTCTGAACTAGCATGCTTTCACCCTAGAATCTATCTCCTTAGTCTTTATTGGTAAAATTGAACTATAGAAACTTAGTCAAAAACATTTGGTATCCAATGTGGGGCACAACCACAGGGACAGAGAAATCACAACAGCTGTAGAAAAACTGAGAAGTCATCAGATTTGTTAGACATCCACGAAGTCCTCAATGAGAGAGTTAAGTAATATTAAAAGAAAAAATCTGTCCCATGTTAAGGATGGGAAATGTCATAATGCTGGGCATTAGGACCACAGATACTGCTAATTTATATGGCTTAAAAATAGAAGCAGAAAATGAAAAAATAAATGACTTAACTGAAACTGAAATAATATAGATTATAATTATTATCAGTCTGGTAATTCATCTTTTACCTTTAATAGCCATAGTGGTATTTTGTGGCAAATATGAAAAGTGGAATGACAAGACACAAGCCTTAGAAAGACTTGTAAATGAAAGTAAGAAAAATACACAGACACAGACAGAGGAAATTAGGCAAGAACCTACCATGTCACTGCATGATGTAAATGAAGAGAGGCAGTCCAAGGTTGTTAAAAAAAAAAAGCCTTAATTTATCCAGTTAATATACAAGAACTACTAGCAGGCTATAGACATCCCCAAGGTCATCAAGAAGTTAAATGGAATCCATTAAAAATATTAGACTTGAAAATATTTAAGGAAGCAATTATTTTATATAGTATGCATTCACCCTACATGAAGTACATATTAAATTCATGGCCAACTCAGGACAAAGTTATTCCCCAAAACTGGAAAGATTTGGCAACAGCAACATTAGAGCAGCTCTTCATTTACAATGGCAAACACGATAGGAAAATAGGAAGCTGGGACCATAGAACAACACAACAGGGCTAGAGGTATTAATATTTCCCAAGATCAGTTGCGAGGAGAGGCCAATATGTTAAGTTGCAAAAGCAGCTTGAATTTGATGATCACACCTTGGTGCTATGTTGTTTAGCAGCTTTAAATGCTTGGGACAAGGTTGAAGAATCAGAAAAGAGGTCTGAGTCATTTACTGAAATTATATAAGGCCCAAAAGAAGAATCACTGATTTTTTTTTTTGGCTGAGATTGACTTCATCTATAAATAGAATGGTATCAGATTCAGAAATCAAATATTAATCAAATATTTGGCTTTTGAAAATACTAATTAGAATGCAAAGGGGTGATTAGGCTTTTAAAGTCAAGATCAGAACCAATAGATGAATAAATAAATAAATAAATGAATGAATGAATGAATGAATGAATGAATGAAAATATGGCTGATATTGCATCTCATGTTTATGATGTTACTCTGATAGGAGAAGTAGTTTCTAACAGTATTAAGAAAAATCAAAATGTCAAATGTTTTAATTGTGGTAAGCAAGGTCATTTGAATGTCTTGTAGGCAAGACATTCCTATAAACTGTCCTTTCTAGAGATAATCCAAACGGAAGGACCCAGGCTTCTGGAGTATACAGAAGATGTGGCAAAGGCCAGCATTAGACTAATGGATACAGATCAACAAGGGACAGGCAAGGTACCCCTTTGCCATTGGGAAACATCCCAAAGGATCTCTCACAGGCCCCCAATAACAAATTTGATTCAACCATTCTCTTTCAACATCAGAGAAACTCATCCACAAGGCAATTAAAACATTTAATGTCTGTTGTTAAAAACAACACTGCTATGGGTGTTATCAAGGTCATAACAGCTCCATAAGATAAAAAATCAAGAGAGACCAAAAAAAAAAAAAAAAAAAAAAAAAGAAAAAAAAAAAAAAAAAAAAAAAAAAAAAAAAAAAGAAATTGTAAAAATACAAATGAATGGCATTGCAACTGAAAGTTTAATGGATACAGGAGCATATGCAACAATAATTTCACCAAAATCTTGGCATCCAGATTAGCCTATTCAGGAGGTAAATATATAGCTTCTAGGAACTGGAACTTTATCTCAGAAAATTCAAGAAGGGTTGAGTGTATAGGGCCAGAAAGACAAATAATAAAATTAAAGCCATATGTGGCTAATATAGCCATGAATCTGGGGATGTGATTTGTTGCAGCAATGGAAAAACACAGATTAAAATTCCTCTAATCTCAGAAACAAATCATCAAATAATGCTTCTAAGAAAACTATTAAAAGGTATTATGAAGAACAGTCACAGACCATTCAGGTTGTACATAAGCAGGACACAGCAGCTATTGATCTTTCAAAGGTAGTAACAGCCCTATCTTCAAAATGGTTAACTGACTCACAGTTCATGTGTTTCCACTAGTTTGACTAGTTGTCTCTGTACTTTTTCCAATCATGGTCTTGATATCTCTTGCTCATATGATCCCTCCTGTCTCTCATCAATTGGATCCCTGGAGCTCCACCTGGGGCTTGGCCATGGATCTCTGCATCTGCTTCCATCAGTCACTGGATGAGGGTTCTATCATGACATTTAGGCCATCCAATGACCAGAGGAGGTCAGTTGGATTTAAATAATAACTTCTGGTATGCTAGAATATTCATAGATGATAATTTATTGTATATTTAGGAAACAAAAAAAAGAGTTTTGAATGCTTTCCACCATAGAAGAATGATAAATGTCTGAGAAAATGGATAAATAGACCATGACTTAAACATTAGGTAATGATTACATGCATTAAAACATCACATGACACATACTAAATATGTATGTTAAATATTTAATGTCAGTCAATATATTTAGAAAAATGAATAAAACATAGGTTAAAATGCAAAAAAAAAAAATGGTTAACTGACAAACCTGTCTGGGTGGAACAATGGTCTTTGACACCAGAAAAATTATACACACTAGAACAATTAGTATAGGTGCAGCTAAATGTTCAACATATTGAAGATTAGATCATCCTTGAAATTCTCCTATATTTGTCATTTAAAAATAATCTGGAAAATGCAAGTGTTAACAGACTTAAGAGCCATAAATGAGGTGATTCAGTCAATGGGCACTTGACAGTCTGCAATTCCCTTGCCTTCTTTATTACTTAACAGATGGGTTATTATAGTGATTGATTTAAAAGACTGCTTTTTTATTATACCTTTACAAGAACAGGATAAAGAAAAAAATTGCCTTCACAGTGCCTACTTATAATACTCAATCTGTTAAAAGGTATAAGTGGAGAGTTTTTCCACAAAGAATGTTAAACAATCCCACCTTGTATCAATATTTTGTACAACAACTGGAGGCAGAGGCAGGCATATCTTTGTGAGTTCGAGGCCAGCCTGGGCTACCAAGTGAGTTCCAGGAAAGGCGCAAAGCTACACAGAGAAACCCTGTCTCGAAAAACCAAAAAAAAAAAAAAAAAAATTGTAAACAGTTTCCTCAATCCAAAATGTATCATTATATGAATGATATCTTACTGACTGATTCAGATACAGATACCTCAGGAAAAAAAAAGTCTGATAAATTAAAAAGAATTTTGCCTTGCTGAGGATAGCAAATTGCTCCTGAAAAAAAAATACAAAGAGGAGATTCTATTACTTATCTTGGATATAAGATAGGTTTACAGAAAATTCAACCACAGATAAATAAGAATCAGGAAATATCAATTATAAGTTCTTAATGATTTTCAAAAATTGCTGGGATATATTAATTGGCTGTGGCCCACAATTGGTTAACTATGCAAGAGCTAAGTAATTTATTTCAAACCTTACAAGATAATAAGGACTCAAATTACAAGATAATAAGGACCCAAGAAAATTATCAGCTGAAGCTGATAATTGGCTTTGGTAGAAAAAAAATTATAGGATGTACATGTGGATCTCTTGGATCCACCACTTGATTGAATTTTAGCTATTTTGCCTTTACTCATAGTCCCATAAGAATTTTTATGCAGAGAGAAAATAATATCTTAAAATTGATATTTTTAGCACATGAACAAAGTAAAAAGTTAAAGACCTATGTAGAAAAGGTTTCTGAACTG